TCTCTGCCCCTGCTCTCCTCCTCTCTGTGTTGTTCCTCTGTCTTCTTTCTTCTCCATTTCCTGCTGCTGGAGCAGCTGAGTTATTCTGCTTGGAGAAATCCCCTCAGCTAGAAATCTTCGAGAATATTTCCAGGCTCACAGTAGCTACTTACATCTCTGTGTAAAACTAACCAGACCATTGCAAACAGTATTTTCCCGTTTGCTGATGACCATTTCCCACTTGCCAGTGTCAGGGGGTGCCAGCTGCCTTTTTAAGCCTTGCTGTACACAAGATTCCATCCTCATTATTCCTCTGTCTGCTAGAGACAAGCATTTTATGCACAAGGACAGTTCAGTTGTCTTAGTATAAGTGAGGGTCAAATACGTTATAGCAGCAGCATAATAAAGTCTTAAATTCTTTCTTGAATTAATTAAATGTATTCTACAACAAATCCTTCTGTTTGCACATGCAATGTAACTTTTTAAAATATAAATATATATTTTTCTAAAAGCACATTGGGGATTAACTAGATATTTAGAACTGAAGTTACCTATGAAAGTAACACACAGTTTTCTTCATCACTGAATAAAGATTGTGTGAAAATAAGAATTTTCTTGGTTAATTGCAATTTATCAGTGCTCTCTTTTGGGTTTTTTTCTTTCAGAGGGTGAAAGACTTGATGCTAAAATGAAGAGACTGGAATCAAAATATGCTTCCCTACATTTGGTTCCTCTGATTGAAAGACTTGGCACACCCCAGGTAATCTCTCATTTGCATCAGAGGCAACTCAAGAAATTGCTGAGCACCAGAAAGTCTGTCCTGGTAGCTCTGTCAGAACTTCAACCTGCACGTCCAGCTTGTTCACACAACAGGAGTTTTGTTTAGATCCATGAATTTGGTACAGCTGTTGAAGCTCAAAAGTTTAAACCATTTGAGACTGGGATGGAGGTGACATGTTTGGGGGGAAAATGTTAGTTGGATGTATGTTGCTATGTGAAACCCTCCCAGCAGAAGGTCCATCCTGGGAGCTCCTCGTGCAAATGTCACCAAAATCAATCAGTTTTCTCGTGCACATCTATCTATATTTTTAGAATCATAAAATTTAAGGGTTGGAATGGACCTTACAGACCACCCAGCCCCAACCCCTGCCCTGGGCAGGGACACCTCCCAGCAGAGCAGGTTGCTCAAGGCTCATCCAACCTGGCTGTGAACACTGCCAGGGTTGGGGCAGCCACAGCCTCCCTGGGCACCCTGGGACAGGGTCTCACCACCAGAACAGGGAAAACTTTTCCTAATATCTAACCTAAACTTCCCCTAAAGTTAAATGTTTAAAACGTCTTACTACTCTTTCAGCCAGTCATTTAGAAACTCCTGAGAAATGAACTGCCATTTGAGTTGAGCTCTCCTGGAAACAGTGACCAAAGAGAACATTCTTGAAGTGCCTTTGCAGCCTCAGCATTGGTTCAGTGTGGGAGGTGCAGTGATTCCCTGCTAACCTTAGCAGGTGGCAGGTTGAGATGTGGTAGTAGGACTAAGAGCAGAGTGCTCTGAAGTGGCTGCTCAGACTGTTTGGTCCTCCCAGGTGCTGGAGGTGGGTGGGGGAGAGCTGTGTGTGACAGCACAGCCTGGGACGAGCTCTGACAGAGTTGCCTCCTGTGGGTTTTGACAGGGCCTGTTTGTGCTCCCTTTGGAGCTGTCCCACCCCTGACAGCAGCAGTCAGGGTGTGCAGGAGAGCACAGGAGGGAGTTTCTGCTTGTACTGGCAACAGAGCACTGAACTCTTTGGTTTTGCTTTCTGCCTCCATTCAGACAAAGAATTCTTTAAACCTTGCAGAGACAGGTCCAGGACTAGCATTACTGCAGGTAGTGTCACTTTTCAAGCCTGTCTGCTTGAAAAGGCTTTCACAATTTTTCTCTGGCTGTTTTTTCCACTCCTCTGAGCCCTGGGTTAGCAGTGTCTGGCCTGACTTCGTCAGGAGTTATTTCTCCTAGAATAAACCAAGAGAAGCTGCAGAATGAGCTGTGTTTATTTTGTTAAACTAAAGTCTTGCAGTCTAGTGGCTCTCAGCAGGGTTTTGCACTTTGTTTCCGTGTCCTTAGCAAATAGCCATCGCCCGGGAAGGAGACCTGCTGACCAAGGAACGTCTGTGCTGTGGCCTGTCCATGTTTGAGGTCATCCTGAGCAGGATCCGCTCGTTCCTGGACGATCCCATCTGGCGTGGGCCCCTGCCCAGCAATGGGGTGATGCACGTGGACGAGTGTGTGGAGTTCCATCGGCTCTGGAGCGCGATGCAGTTCGTCTACTGCATCCCCGTGGGCACACACGAGTTCACCGTGGAGTACGTGCTGCCCTTTGCCCCTCCCTGCCAGGGGAGGTGTCTGTCTGTCTGTCTGCAGGGCTCAGGGCAGAGCTGCCAGCCCCGGGAGGGACTCTGTCCATGAACAGACACCATTGTGTCTGCAGTGAAAATAACTCTATTTTCAGTATAAGGGATGGTCCCGTGACAAACAGCCCCTGCACGAGCTTTTCAGTAGGGGTCAAACCCCAACAGGAGCTCAGCTTAATGAAAGAGCAGAACATCTGTGCATCTATTTCTAGCAAGTATTTCTTCTCTAAATTAAGAGCAAGAATGAGCACTTGGAATGTAACGTAATTACCACGAGTTAACCAGGAACTGTTGTTTGTTCTTGGTTTTGTTTTTTTGAGAACATCCTTGTTTTGAAAAACTGTTGAGCTGTAACATGCTTTTCACTGAGCAGTTAGAAAACAGCATGGGCTGTTTGCCTGCAGCCCAGAGGGGCAGAGTGGGGTTGAATTCCCACTTTGTTTCCTTTGACAGCATCCCTATGCTATGGAAAATTGAGGGGGACACTTTTTTTTTGCTAAGCATCCATTTGAGTTGCTTGTGATATCTGGAAAGAGAATGGCTATACCAGAGCTTTTGCTTTCTTGTTTAATGCCTCATTTATTATTTAGTGGCTGGTTTCTCGTGTGTGCTGTGCTCGTGAGCACTGGGGTGAAGGTGCTGTGGTGTCTCCCCTGCAGGCAGTGCTTTGGGGATGGGCTGCACTGGGCTGGCTGTATGATCATCGTGCTCCTGGGGCAGCAGCGTCGCTTCGACGTCCTGGACTTCTGCTACCACCTGCTGAAGGTGCAGAAACACGACGGCAAGGACGAGGTCATAAAGAACGTGGTGAGTTGGAGGCAGCTGCTCTCTGTTTGCTGCAGTAATGAGGACTGTTTATTATTACTTGCTAATTGCTATTACTTACTAACCAGTAATAAACCAGTGACCTAGAGCTGTTGGTGCTCAGTGTAGATGTAGTGATGGCTTTTTAGGGCACATTGCTGAAAATGAGGGCACCAGGAGTCTTAGGGACAAAAGATTAAGGCATTAATACTGGAGTTTGAAGACTGGTCAAGTTAGAATCCCAATGTCCTGAACAGATGAGATTTTAACGCCTTCCATTTCATGTATGTGCACTCAGATAATGACAAGGCTGCTGTAAATGGAACTCCTGAGTACCAAAGCAGCTCTGTCAGAAACCCAGAGCATACCTTGGGTTTGCACTGGCTTAGCAGTGGAAGGGAAACATTTGTAGCATTGTGGGAGAGGTGAACTTTACAGCATTTGCTGGTTTTCTGTCTAAGGCTTTTCATCTCCGAAGTTAATTCCTGTGTGTGGTTTTCTGTCTAAGGCTTTTCATCTCCAAAGTTAATTCCTGTGTGACTGGTTGGGTTTTTTTGATGTTTGCAGCCTTTGAAGAAAATGGTTGAGAGAATTCGCAAGTTCCAGATCCTGAATGATGAAATAATTGCTATTCTGGACAAGTACCTGAAGTCTGGAGATGGGGAGAGCACCCCCGTGGAACACGTGCGCTGCTTCCAGCCCCCCATTCACCAGTCCCTGGCCAGCAGCTAGGCCTCCCCCACTGCCCCTGGGCTGGGCTGCAGCTGGGAGAGGACAGCGAGACACCAAACCCTCCCCAGCAGTCCCAGGGAATACTCCATCTGCACTCCCCACTGGGCCTGGGCCAGCTGAGTGCTGCACTGTCCTCTCCAGTCTCCCAAGCACAGGAACTGTATACAATCCATTCTTATTTTTCTAGACTAAAATTTTATACACTTTGATTATAAGCC